TTATACAAGTCATTTAGGGCAAAGCTAGGAGTAACACTCCCATGATCTGAACCGCAGGCATATGCTACATGACTCCCTTCCTCTCGCTATTTATCATATGGCAGATACCATAGGGTATGTCTACACTACCCCGCTAGTTTGAACTAGCAGGGGTAATGTAGTCATCCGCAGTTGCAAATGAAGCCCAGACTTCATTTGCATGAAGCCGGCCGGCACCATTTTTAAATGCCGGCTAGTTCGGACCCCGTGCCGCGCGGCTACACGCGGCACGGACTAGCTAGTTCGGATTAGGCTTCTAATCCGAACTAGCTGTATGCCTCGTTCCACGAGGCGTACCAGCTAGTTCGGATTAGAAGCCTAATCCGAACTAGCTAGTCCGTGCCGCGTGTAGCCGCGCGGCACGGGGTCCGAACTAGCCGGCATTTAAAAATGGCGCCGGCCGGCTTCATGCAAATGAAACCCGGGAAATTCAAATCCCGGGCTTCATTTGCAACTGCGGATGACTACATTACCCCTGCTAGTTCAAACTAGCGGGGTAGTGTAGACATACCCCTAGTTACTGCAAACCTCCTACCTTCTGTTACCAAATTCCTTGCTATGTGCTATTCTATAATCTTCACCTGTGTACATTTTCAACTGTAATTCCAAATAATCTCTGAGCAAACTATTAACACTCTTTAATATCTCCCTATATACCCCCAAACCGCACTTTCTCTGAAGAACTACAAATAGATGGATCTAAAAAAAGAACCCCATTTAATCCATTATCTGAGGAATGACTCACTTTAAAGTGAAGAGTGACACTGTCTAATTATAGTGAGCAGGTACAACTCTGGCAACTAAGCTTCATTAGTGCTCTTTAAGGATGTTAAGTATAAACTAATTGACGAATTGAATAGTCAATGCATTTTGCATCGACTATTCCATTAGTTGATAGGGTGCCTCTGCCTTTGAAGTGTAGCAACAACCCTAGGGCGCATGTGGCATTTCAAAGCAGCAGTGCTGCATGGAGCCCAGGGTCAGCAGAGTCCCCTGTTGATCCAAGGCTCCATGCGGTACTGCTGCTTTGAAACGCCACATGCAGTCTAGGGACACCCCAGCTGGCCTCGGGCCACATGCAGCATTTCAAAGCAGCAGCGCCACATGGAGCCCGGGGTCTGGCCCCAGGCTTCAAGCAATACTGATGCTTTTAAGTATCCCCTCTTTTTCTCCCTCCCCCCTTCCTGCCTCTATGTGGAGGAATGACTAGTCAGCTAGTGCTTCACATCCCTAGTGCTCCTGGGATAATTGCAGCCTGTCTTTCTGTACCCTTTAAGTTTTTGTTTCTAGCCTCAAAATGCAAGTTAATGGAATCACTATTCGAATTCATTACCTCAAGGCCCTTCCCCAGTGTACACTTTGGAAACTTAGAGAGCTCACAGAATTCTTCCTTTAGTCCCAATTGTTTCCCCTCCACTAAGCCTGGTTAAAAAAAAGACAGTTGTAAAGAACTGATCAATGCCATACATCAAGTAGTAGGTCTCTGCTCTGAATGCAAATTAGACTCTGGCTCCTAGAAGTATTGTATGCCTTCCTTTTTGGGGGTGGGGGCTTTTTTCCTGAGCTCTGCAAAAAACACTGAAATGCTGAGGACATGATTCAGCTTATCTTACCAAGCAACCCAGAATTAATTGTATTACAGGTAGAGCCAATGCAATAGTTTTGTTATCCTTCACAAAAAGCTCTGGCTTAAGTTCTGGCCTCAACTACCGCTCCATTAACTTCAACAGGCACTGCACGGGAGCAATGAGAGTTGATTTGTTCTTAAATACTCAGTTATAGGCACTGTATGCACGCATCCCAAAGCAATAATTTTCCTAACAGTTGTGCATGGAGTCCATTCATTTATTTTTAAACAAGAACTTAATATCAGTGAATAGAATTCCCTATGCAAAAGTAACACTCTCTCCCTTTAAGGCTATTACAACCTAAGAGACCTATAGTCATGGACAGTAGTCTGGTGAATGAACAGTTGGGGCACAGAACAGCTTTCTACAGCTCTGCAATAAAGAACATTAATTCTGTACCTCAATTTAAATCCCCAGGAGAAGACACAAACTTATTTTCACTGCAGAGTAGGTGGAATTTCAGGGTTCCTGGATTGTATAAAAGGCAGGGAAATGAAAGGGTTTTTTTGGAATGGAGAATGACCTTCCTGGCATCTACTCAGCCATTCTCTGTCTGGAAGAACAGTTCACAGCTGTTCCACAATCTACCACCACCTGAGCTATGCAAAATAGATCAATGAAGCTAGAAAGCCTCAGGAATTCAGACAACCCAGACATCATCTATATGCATCTGAGTTATCATAGGAACAAGCAAAAACATACATCCTACCTTATCCCATACACTCTTCTGATAAAAACAATCCATCATGCATCACCTAGCTCTTGCCACTGTCTAAGGTATAATCTGTCACGAGGCCATTTGAGTTAAAAATGGTGTAAAAATCTAAATAGTTTAGGTCTCCATTTCATAGGCTCTCTTATTGTAGAAGATAAATCCCAGCAGCTGTAGAATACTACCTCTAATGAGGCAGACAGTAACAGAAACCGCTGTATGCTTGTATCATTTATATTTCACTACTGCACTGTTCCTGTGACATCCAAAAAATGTAATAACCAGCCAGGTGCTTCATTTCATGCTGAGCAAGCATCTATCCTCCCTCTCACAAATTTCAGTCCTAACATTCTTTATACTGTATCACCCTTTCCCTCAATACTTGTGAGAATAATACATTGGGTAAACTTAGAAAGTATCTCAAGAAGAGAGCAATTTATTAAGTAAACTCCCCTGTCCCCAACCTTTTTCCTTTTTAGAAGAAATATTCCTATCTTACAGGAGTCATAATGTAATTAAATTTAGCATCAGTGAAGGGGGAAATATCAGAAAAAAACACAGTAACAATTAACTTTAAAATGGAGAAACCACATAAGAATGAGGATGCTGGTTAAATGGAAATTAGAAAGAGCAATCACAAAGGTAAAATGCCTGCAAGCAGCAAGACTACTTAAAAATAACATACCAGCAGTTCAGACTAAATGTACACCCCGAGTCAAAGTACTACAGTAGGAGAACCAAAAGCATGTCACCATAGCTCATGATAGTAATAAGGGTTGTTTAAGTGGGAAAAAGGGTACTTAAAATAAGTACTAGAACTTCCTGGTATTCCCTGAAAAGATCTGAAAGAATTTACATATCAAATGTACTCCTGAGGAAAGTCCCCAAAATGTAAATTGTCGATAGACTATTTTAAAATTCTGCAAAATTTGTCAAATAAATTTGTCACTTCCCCAGGCCATATACTCAGTGGTAAGGCTGAAACTGACCTTGTCATAGTGCAAGGATTGGGCCTGCCCAAAGATGTGTGTCCCAGGAGAGGGCTACAGGGTGAAGAAATCTGCATGGAACATGAACTCTGCATATGTGCAGTAATGCAAAATTTCCCCATTATTATAGCATGCAACTAAAACCAAAATAGCCTCTATACGAGAGAACTGGAAGATAGCTAATATAATGCTGATTTTTTTTTTAAACAGGCTTCCAAAGAAATCCTGGCAATTAGAGGCCAGTGAACCTAACTTCAACACTGGTCAAAATGGTAGAAACTATAATGAAGAAAAGATTTATCTGACACAAGCATGATTTGTTGGGGAATTCTCAGCATGGCTTTTGTAAAAGGAAACCATTCCTTACCAAGCTGTTAGGATTATCTGAACGTGTTAATGAGCATGAGGTCAAGGCTATGCCAGTTGATACAGTGTATCTGGATTTTCAGGAAGTAGTTGATATGGTCCTTCACCAAGGGCTACTTAGTCTCTTTAAGAGCCAGGGAATAAGAGGAAAGGCTTTTTTTTTTTTTTTTTTTTAAGAGAGAGAACTATTTAGCATAGGCAAAAAGACAAGAAAGGGATACTATGATACAAGTCTATAAAATTATGAATGGTGTGAAAAAGTGAATTTGTGTGTTATTTACCTTTTCCCATTACTAAAAATAAAATGAGGGGTCACCCAGTGAAATTAACAGGCAACTGGCTTACTAGACACCAGCATAAGTATTTTTTCACACAACACGCTGCTAACTCATTGCCATGGAATGTTGTGATGGTAAAAAATATAACTGGGTTCTAAAAAGGAACTGGCTAATTTCATGAAGGATAGATCTGTCAGTAGGCATAAGCCACGGTGGTTATGGATGTAAACCCATGCTCAGAGAGACCATCAACTTACAACTATCAATCTTCAAAGGTAAGGCTGCGTGCAATACATATGTGTAAGGGCATTCTTTTCTGCCTCACTTGAACTGGCTGAAATAATTACGTGAAGACTGTATAAAAAGGTTACCATAGTGAAGCTCTTAAATGAAGAAGCCATTGCTAGTAAGCACTTCTTGTAAAGTTACTTATTTTGCTACAGTCTCATTTGCTATTATCCTAGTGCTATTAAACTCAAAGAAAGACTTACATTTCTATTTTTTCAGTTACAATGTAGGTTAATTAATTTCAAAACAAATTAAACTGAGCATTGTAGTCAAACAAATTTATGAAGGTGACAAAATATTTTCAATTGTATTTGTGGTCTTTCATTATCTGAAAGCAACCTAAAATAATTCTTCAAAAAGAAGTTTCTCAAGCTAGATTTTATTTCTGCTCTTGAAATCTCTCTATCAAGTCTCATGGTCTTCCCTATAATTAGCAAATTTCTCAGCTAGATATTTGTGAACTATCATATTTCACAGCTTCACCTTCTGTTAACAAGCATACTCCCAGACAGTGATGTTAAGCAGGGTTTAATTTAAAAAATTAAGTTGACTAAATATCCCTTCCCATTAACTACACATATCTTATATAATAATAAATGCATTGTTTGTTGTTACTACAGACTTTCCAGCAAAAAGAGAACCAAATAGTTTTCCTTTATAGTCACCTCCCAAACTACCCTTTCACAGCAACTTGGGAAATGTAATACATGACAATATTTGTTTAAAGAATTTATTGTATAAAATTATGATTGGCATGAAATAGAAATTGTTCTTTTTAATGCATATTTCCCATTAATCTGTACACAAGTATTACAAGCATTAAGCAAAATGCAATAATTCTAAGAACTAATTTCATACTACAAAAAGTATTCACATAGTGAAGCTATTCTGGTTACAAAATATTAAATAAAAGCACTTCAAAATATGTATTTGGGAAATGTTATTATATGATCAATGCTTGCTTAAATTAAACAAATTAAGACACCTCACACACAAATATACCATTGTCAGTTCAATTCACATGGAGCAAAGTTCAGATCCATTTACTGAGCATTATCCCAGAAGAAAAAACGGTTACTACAGGAATCAATCATTATTTAATGACAAATAACACCATCAAGAAAGAATCAAGTTCTCTCATGGTTTTCATACAGAACAGGAATGCAGCTGTTGGGAGGCCAACACATGCGCACACACCCCTCAAGGCATGTACCGACTGTTTTTAAAAAAAAAAAAAAAAAGAGACATTCCAAACTTCACTGTTTAATTTAGTTAATTCAGCTTCTAAGAACAGGGGTTTACAAAGAATACTTACATATTTAGCATAATTTCACTTGCACTACTGCAAAGTCTGTAGGTGTCAAATTATTTAAATATGATACATCCTCACCATAAGGCTGTTAAAAGGTTATCAAATCTCTGCTTCCCAGGTATGGTTAAGGCCCTTGTCTTCTACAGCAAGTGATCTATTTAATCACTTCTAAATCCTGTGCTTGCACATCCTAAGAACAGCCTTACACAAAGGAGGTACTATCATAAGCAATTACATTCTAACTTAAAGATGAGAAATTATTTTTACAGCTCAGAACAAAATAACTACAAAGGTCATTTCTCAAAAGAAAGGTAATAAATCTTGATTTTTATGATGGTTACTTGGCCTCTGAGGCAGCTGAAGAGTGTTTGCGTGTATATCTACAGAACTTAACTCACACAAACATATGTATAAGCACAAAGATACTGTATCTACATACACAAGCACTAACATACTGAGAAACAATCCACTGCTCGCACAAAAGGAGCACTATCCCATAATTCTTCTAGTAAAATTTTGTCTCTTTCAAAATGGATTCTGAGTTCCTGAGTCTCAAAAACATTGCTGTCCTTTTCTGTTAATTGCTCTGAAGGAAAGCCCGTAGTCTGTGTTTCTCCTAAGGATACAATATTTTAAATCTTTTAAAAATTTAAAGAAGTGGGGGGAGGGGGAGTATAACTGGAATTAGCTTGATTTTTAAACATTTTTAAAGGAATAAAGAATCTTCACCATTATATAAAACAAAGGCCACCTTAGTCTAAGATTTCTAATGCTAGTATCCTAACTTTTTTATGGCAGAGAGAAATTGAAGTCCCTATTCTTACTGTATGTATTGTGTGCAATGAAAACAAATCTATCCTTTAAATAAATCTTTAAAAAGTTTTTATAAATAGAATTGCAATGGAACAGCCCTTTTGTTGCCAATGGAGCAAATAACTAGTGAGTTTTCCCTCAGATAGTGCTATATTCACCGTAATCTATTACATCCTCTATAGTTTCCCTTTTACTTTGCATATTACACAGTGTAACTTAAAACGTTATTTAAGAGCACTTCAGTCCCACAACGTAGGGTTTAAGCTTGTCTGAATAAGTACAAGTGGCTCTGCAACATTTCAATGAATTACAAAAATACATTCAACCAAAAGTTTATATAGGGTTCTCTTTTTTAAAAAGTAAGAAATGAAGGGAAAGTCAAATGGTCCCATAATTAACAGAGTAATACACTGTAATTTCTGGAAATATTTTGAAAGCAAAGCACATTCAAAAGTATTGTACATTGAATTGCATACTTTAACTCATCTTTCAGTAATAAAGATCTACCATATATAAATTCAACCTTATAAATAATGCTAAGCAGAAAAATATTTACTTCTGGGCTATCTTTCTCAGTTTTTAAGAGCAAACACAAAACAAAACCTAAAGTGCAGGCTACAGATTATGATGACAAACATAAAGGACAAAAGGTGCAGTAATTTGCATCTACATTTTAAAGTTACTTAGCCATCTATTGTTCCTTGCTAAATATCACCCTCCTTGTGCAAGTTAGGAATTGCTGAGTTGGTTTGTGTCAAAGTACAACCAGCAACTGGTTTTTTAATTTTTTTACACCGGTTATAGTTGTCCATAGACATTTCTAAGTAATAGCGTACATTTACAAAACCTTACATTTTAATACTCATATCACACAATATTGATCCCACCCCCGGAAAATGCTATTGTCCTCTTGTTGCAGAATGTTGTTGAAGAAGTGGTGCTTGGCTGGTTGCCTGAAGCAAGGGAAGTTTTCATTTCCATTTCACATGCTACGATAGCTGCATTCAATTCCACTTGCGCTCGGTGAACGACATAAAACATGAGGCCAATGCTTATAACAATCTATGAATAAAACAAACACACTGCAATTGAAAAATATAGCACAAAAAAGCAGGAATTCAAAGCAAATACTTCAGGTGAGCATTAAGATGAATTCTCAGTACACACACTTGTTAATGTTTGGAGGTAAATGCATTCAGAGGAAGATGATCCTAACCGGAGATGGGCAAAGGGCCCTCAACGGGACAGATCAGGCCCACCAACCAAGTAGATCCAGCCTGCGGATGCCCTGCCGCTCCCCCATCCCCAGACCAATTGGGGCGAAGTCTCCTCGCCCTTGCAAGAGCACACGGCAGCTAGAGAAACTTCACACACTCCCCCGCCCACAGACACTGACTAGCCTGGGGACGAGGGAGCTCATGAGGTCTCCTTCCGCTAGGCGCCTACAGCAGAGGTTCCCAAACTTTCTGACACAGGGACCAGTAAATCCATTCATGAGCTTTTGGAGAACAGGTAACATTCATTTGTATATTCATTAAGCAAATGATGAATATTCAAATAAGTTGTTTTTGGTCCTCCCAAAGCCCCCAGTGCCAGCTTTAGCAAAGTTTTTACTATGGCTACCCACAATATTCTTGCCAGCAACTTAAGGGAATATGGATTGGATAAATGGACTGTAAGATGGATAGAAAGCTGGCTAGATCAGGGTTTCCCAAACTTTTTACTTTAGTTGGAACCTGGTTTTTTTCAGTACTGTTTTTTGCAGCCCAAAAATATAAATGCATATAAAAAAATAATTAAAAATGAATAAATTTTCAGTGTTTCACCCGGCTGCATCCTCCACCCAGCCTGGGCCAGGGCTTGGGGGACCTGGCACCGCATGGGCACTCCAGGAGGCAGGAGCAGATTGGGGGTAAGGTATCTGGCTAGGAGGGAGGGTGCAAGGAGGGGTAGGGTTGCCTGGTGTCCAGTTTTGTACTGGAAAGTCCAGTATTAGAGGGTTCTGTCTGGGAAACAAATTGAGAAAATACCAGACATATAAAATGTCTGGTATTTTCTAATTATGTAAGTTTTATCATTATCAGGTGTGTCAGTCCGTAGCTGCGAACTGCCTGGCTGGTAGATGTGCTCACGCTGCGTGAGTGTGTCTACCACCCAGGCAGTTTGCAACTACTCGAGGGAGGGTATGGGGGGTGGAGGCGGCATGGCACAAAATGGAATCCCCAGGGTCGGACTCACTCATGTGCCCGGGTTTGCATGTGCCCAGGTCCGTCCCACTTCCCGCCAGCTGATTCGCCCCTAGCAAACCCCGCTGCCCCTGTCCAGCCCTACTTCCGGCAGCTGGTTCTCCCGTCCTCCTCCTCACAATCTCCCCGTCCAACCCACCCCACCCCGTCCC